TGGAGCAGTTTGTATTCTATTTAGGCTTTTGGGCAAACTAGGAAGATGGCAGTGCCCACATGCCATTCCTGAGGAGCATGATGGAGGCGGCCATCCTCCTGGGGCAGAAAACAGCCCGGGAGCTAATGTCCTGGGGAGCCTTTGGACAAACAATGAAGTTGGTGGAGCTGAGATGTTGGAGGCAGCAGTCAGACTGGGGACAGAACACTGGGAGGCTTGAAGTCCTGGTGAGAGTTGGGCATGGGGTGGACTGGGGGTGGGGTTGACTGAGGCCAGTCTGGATGGCCTTCATCAGACACCGGTTGAGGGCAGGGCTCTGTGTAAATCCAGCCTACAGGCTTCACTGCAAACAAGCAAACTGAAGAGGACGATCCAGTATATGAGAGGAAGGAGGGATTGCCCCTGGCTAGGACCAATAATGATACTTTCATTAATTGCCTATTTGACAGACTCTGCTTTTTAAACTACATTCACTTCTTTTTTAATTTTATTATTTTTTAAAATATATTTTTATTGATTTCAGAGAGAGAGAGAAGGATAGAAACATCAATGAGGAGAATCATTGATCAGCTGCCTCCTGCACGCCCCCTACTGGGGATCGAGCCCACACCCTGGGCATTGAGCCCACAACCTAGGCATGTGCCCTCGGCCGTAATCGAACCTGGGACCCTTCAGTCCGCAGGCCAATACTCTACCAACTGAGCCAAACCAGCTAGGGCTTTTTTTTTTTTTTAATCTTCACCCTAGGATATTTTTTCATTGATTTTTAGAGAGAGGGAAAGACAGAGAAATATTGATGTGAGAGAAGCACATAGATTGGTTGCCTCCGGCATGTACCCAACCAAGGCCTGAGCTGGGGAGGAGCCTGTAACCAAGGTACATGCCCTTGACTAGAATGGAACCCCAGAACCCTTCATCCACAGGCCAATGCTCTATCCACTGAGCCAAACCTAATAGGGTTGAACTACATCCACTTTTAACAACAAACCTGAGGCAGACAATACTTTAGAGATCCAATGAGACATAGGTGAATTAAGTGACTTGCTCAAAGGCACACATCTTAGGATTGAAATCAGGCAGTGTGACTTCAGGAACCACTCCCAAGCACTATTCAAGGTGAAGGGTGGATTTTATTGGAACCAGAAGGATCTGGGTGTGATAGCAGGCTTAGGTGTGCACTAGGCTGCCTTCACCTGGAGTGGTCAAGCTTTGAAACGTGAGCTCAGCACAGGAAACAGCGTTCAGGGAAGCCTGGCAGCAGGTCCCAGGGTCCTGACTGTTCAGTTCCAGGTGTGAGCTGATGTGACCTTGCCATGGCCACATCTGGAAATCACAGGACCAGAAGTGTAAGCCTGGTTGGTGGAGCTTTCATGACCGATTCTTTGCTGGAGACTGTATGCCCTGAATCTACCCCATTACTAGCTATACTTTGAAACGTGAGCTCAGCACAGGAAACAGCGTTCAGGGAAGCCTGGCAGCAGGTCCTAGGGTCCTGACTGTTCAGTTCCAGGTGTGAGCTGATGTGACCTTGCCATGGCCACATCTGGAAATCACAGGACCAGAAGTGTAAGCCTGGTTGGTGGAGCTTTCATGACCGATTCTTTGCTGGAGACTGTATGCCCTGAATCTACCCCATTACTAGCTATACTGTGAGAGTAGTGATGGGGACATTAATCCAGATTAAAATTTCTCTAAAGGCTGTTCTTGTGCTGTTGTGTTCACTGATGTATATCATGTGTGTAAAACTGTACTTTTCCCCCTTTAAATTCAACAATCTAGAATTTATTTTTATTTTCTTAAAATATATTTTTATTGATTTCAGAGAGGAAGGGAGAGGGAGAGAGATAGAAACAAAAGATGATGAGAATCATGGATCGGCTGCCTCCTGCACACCCCCTACTGGGGATTGAGCCAGAACATGGGCATGTGGGCTTGACCAGAATCGAACCTGGGACCCTTCAGTCCGAAGGTTGATGCTCTATCCACTGAGCCAACCCAGCCAGGGCTAAAACTGTACTTTTTCACAGTGATAGCACTTTATTTCTACAAGCAAATTATCAGAATGTCTTGAACTCTGAGACAGCCACAGCATGGCATATTTCCATTTCTTTCCCTATGCGTAAGACTCACTGTATGTAACTGGAATATAATAGTCTCATGAGATCAAGAGAAAGAACTCTGAATAAAGGAGAAAGTGAAGAACCCAGGGCAGTGGGAAGGGATGAGGGAGATGAAAGTCCCATGTATCAATTCAGCAGGTCCCAGAGAAGTCGTGATCCTTATCACAGGTGACAGGCCAAATTTATAGATTCATCTCCAAAACATTACAAATAGATGTCACTTCCTCATTCTTAGAGACTAAGGTTCTCATTTTTTGTTCTACTTATTCTAGGAATCATCTTCCTTTTCTGCCTTCTTTATAACCAGTTAATAAATCTCTCTGATCCTATACAAAAAGTTTTGGGTGACAATTCTGTTCTTTAGAACTATTTTCTATGAAGTAGTTATAAAAATTAGCCAGTTAGTTCATTCATTCACTTTCCAAATCTATATGAAATAAGGGGTTTGGTTTGGTTTATTTTTTGTTTTGGTTTGGTTTTTAAAAATATATATATATTTTATTGATTTTTTTACAGAGAGGAAGGGAGAGGGATAGAGTTAGAAATATTGAGAGAGAGAAACATCGATCAGCTGCCTCCTGCACACTCCCCACTGGGGATGTGCCTGCAACCAAGGTACATGCCCTTGACCGGAATCGAACCTGGGACCTTTCAGTTCGAAGGCTGACGCTCTGTCCACTGAGCCAAACCGGCCAGGGCTGTTTGTTTGTTTTTATGGGCTGGCAAATGTAAAATCATAGAATCTACTACTCACCGATATCATTTTCTAATACAATGGAAATCACAGTAATTTCTCTGAGTCTCAGTTTAGCTCATTGTCCTATATCTACTCCTCACATGACTGCTGAGCATTTGAAATACGACTAGTGTAAAATAGAAAATGATTTTTTATTCATTGGTGTTCAATTATTTTTTAAAAATATATATTTTATTGATTTTTTATAGAGAGGAAGGGAGAAGGATAGAGAATTAGAAACATCGATGAGAGAGAAACATCAACCAGCTGCCTCTTGCACACACCCCACTGGGGATGTGCCTGCAACCAAGGTACCTGCCCCTGACCGGAATCGAACCCGGGACCCTGCAGTCAGCAGGTCAATGCTCTATCCACTGAGCCAAACCGGTCAGGGCCGGTGTTCAATTATTTTAACAATTAAACTTTAAGTAAAGCCACTAAAATTAGGAACTTTATATCCCTGTGGAGAAAAGTAATGGTCTCAAAAATAACTTATTTGTGTTCTGTGGTACTTAACTGCAGGCCATTAAAGAATCACTCCCCAATCCCTCATAATAATATGCAATTTCAACAATAAATTTTCACATCCCCTTGAACCAATTGCTCCATGTCCATTTCACCTAAAAAAGACATTTACATTCTCTAACTAGATTAGCTGGAGTATAGAGATACCACTTAAAGATAACCCAACTACCTCAGTGCTCTCTTGCAGAAACCATGGGATTCTGTTGTGATCACCACTGTATCCTCAGCTCCTGGAGAAGAACCAGGTACAAAGTATTTGACAAAAACTTAATACAAATGAATGAATTGACTCAATTTGAACCTGTTGTCTCCTAAATCCTTCTGCATAATATAAATGTCTAAGAGTTTATGGTAAACATCCCAGTTTTCAATTAACCCTTTACCTTGGACTAAGGAAACTGAATTGATATATACATGCCCAATATCCCACCAATCCATATTAGCTCCTTTCTGTTTTTTGATTCATATTAACATTCCAGATATAATTTTTAAATTTTTGATTAGAGAGAGAGGAAGGGAGAAAGAAAAATATCGATGTGAGAGCAGAACATTGATTGGCTGCCTCCTGCACACCCCTACGAGGGATGGAGCCCACAACCTAGGCATGTACCCTGACTCGGAAAAGAACCAGCAACTTTCTGGTGCACTGGACAACATCCAACCAATTGAGCCACACTAGCCAGGGCCAGATACAAATTATTTTTATGTTTTTAAAAAATGCACTTATTGGCTCCACTTAGCTACTTTCTCTTTCATTTAATTAACACAGTAGACAAATTGCTGTGTTTGGTTTAACATCATATTAGGCTTCTGTGTCAAAGCACATATTTAATAGGATGAGAATATCACAACTTCCCCTTCTCAGCATTTATTCAAAAAATTTCTCTCCTTATATAATTTTCAAAAATAATCTGAGCTACATTTTTTTTTATCTTTTAAAAAATATATATTTTATTGATTTTTTACAGAGAGGAAGGGAGACAAGTAAAGAGCCAGAAACATCAATGATCAGCTGCCTCCTGCACACTCCCCACTGGGGATGTGCCCGCAACCAAGGTACATGCCCTTGACTGGAATTGAACCCGGGACCCTTCAGTCCGCAGGCCAACGCTGTATCCACTGAGCCAAACCAGTTAGGGCTGAGCTACAGCTATATTTTGTAAAAAATACTTTTGATTTTGAGAGAGGAAGGAAGAAGGAGGAAGAGAGACATCAAAGTGAGAGCAGAACTGCCTCCGGCACACCCTGTACCAAGGATTGAGCCCACAACCCAGGCATGTGCTCTGACCAGGAATTGAACCAGCAACCTTTTGGTGCATGAGCTGATGCCCAACTGAACCACATGAGCCAGAGCTGAGATAGAAATGTCACATATATATCTTTATTCATTTTGGAGAAGAAGGGCAAGGGAGAGAGAAACATCAATGATGAAAGAGAATCATTGATTGGCTGCCTTCTGCATGCCCCACACTGAGGATCGAGCCCACAACCCAGGCATGTGCCCTTGGGTGGAATCGAACCTAGGACCCTTCAGTCCGCAGGCTGACACTCTACTCACTGAGCCAAACCGGCTAGGGCTATTTATTTTTATTGATTTCAGAGAGGAAGGGAGAGGGAGAAATAGAAACATCAATGATGATAGAGAATCATTGATTGGCTGCCTCCTGTACGCCCCCTACTGAGGATCAAGCCCTTGACTGGAATTGAATCCAGGACCCTTCAGTCTGCTGGCTGATGCCCGACCCAATGAGCCAAACAGGGTAGGGCTGAGCTAGAAATTTTTGGTCAAATCTTTGCACACAGAATATCTCTGGATTTTATCTTATTGGTTTCCTGTGACATAAAATAAAACATAATTGCTCACTGAAGGTGAGACCACACTCACTGTATTCATAAGGTTTCTGTCCTGTGCAAATCCACCTGAGGGTGCACAACTGGCCACAGGCTGGCCCACGATGACTACATTTCTGTTTTCTAGAGGCCCACTGATGTTCAATACTGTCTGAGGGATCACAATGGGCACCTGCAGAGTCACCGTATTAACAAGGTTTTTCTCCTGCAGGACGACACTGGTCTGTGATGAGCTGGGAATCTCTGAGCGAGGATGTTCCACCTTGACTGAATGAATTTTCTGATGTTCACTGAGGACTGATTTTGCTCTGAAAGTTTCCCCACATTCATTACAACCATAGGGTCTCTCCCCCGTATGAGTTCTCTGATGTACAGTGAGCTGTGGCTTCTTGATAAAGGTTTTCCCAGAGTTACTACATTCAAAGGGTTTTTCTCCTCTGTGAATTCTTTCATGTTTAATGAGATCTGTCTTCTGGGAATAGGATTTTCCACATTCACTGCACAAAAAGGGTTTCTTTCCCGTGTGAAATCTCTGATGTGTCGTGAGCGATATCTTCTGGCTGAAGCCTCTTCCACATTCGTTGCATATATAAGGTTTCTCACCTGTATGAATTCGTACATGTACCTTGAGGTTGCTCTTCTGGATAAAGCGTTTCCCACAGTCACTGCATACAAAGGGTTTCTCTCCTGTATGTATTCTGTAATGTTTCTTGAGCTCTGACTTCGTGAGAAAGCCTTTGCCACACTCTGTACATGGATGAGGTTTCTCTCCTGTATGCGATCTCCGGTGTTTGTTCAGTGCGACCCTTCTGGAGAAGCTTTTCCCACACAGACTACATTGATGAGGCTTCTCCCCTGTATGAAGATTCTGGTGATCACTGAGCAAAGACTTACTTATGAAGGTTTTCCCACATTCACTGCATACGTGAGCCTTCTCTCTTTTATGAGGTTTCTTATAATTAATGAGTTGGGACTTAGTGTTGACGAGTTTCTGGTTTTCCAGGAATTTCATTTCAGTCTGAAACTGTTTACTGTTAACGTGGGAAAAAGATTTCCCATCTTCAGGAAGTTCACCAGGCTCCTTGATTTCATAGTCACAATTTTCAAATAACTTATTTTTGTGACATTGTTCTAGGCTATTCTCCATGCTTTCATTTTGTACGTGCTCTGGCAGATGGTCATCAAGTTTCCAGATATCTAGTAAAGAAAACGAATTTCCCATCATCTTGATTTGTAAGAAAGGTAATGAAAAATATACCTTGATGTGTGGTGCCTTTTATACTGAGTGTAACTAAAACTTCGTGTTTGATGTTCCTTGTTCATTAGTACAAGTAATGAAAAAAAAAGTAAAACTGAATAAACACTTTGTCTACTTTCTGAATATTAGCCTTGCCAAATATGCACACTGTGAAATACAAACAATTTACTGTTTCTCACTTCTATTATCCTTCAGCATATACCAGGCTATCACACCACAGGTGGGAGGGCCACCTCATCCGAATTGGAGAGGGATTCCTTCCACATTCCTCACTGATGACTACTGTATACCAACATGGTCCTAGGCTGGGGACACACAGACACAGTCCTGATGTTCACAGAGCTTACACTGCAGTTTGGTGAAGCCACTTAAAGGGCAAAGACACATGCAAGAAACACCTGCAGCCCTGACTGGTTTGGCTCAGTGGATAGAGCGTCGGCCTAGGGACTAAAGGGTCCCAGGTTTGATTCCAGTCAAGGGCATGTACCTTGGTTGCCGGCATATCCCCAGTGGGGGATGTGCGGTAGGCAGCTGATCAATGCTTCTCTCTCACTGATGTTTCTAACTCTCTATTGCTCTCCCTTCCTCTCTGTAAAAAAATCAATAAAATATATTTTAAAAAATTGAAGAAAAAAAAAAGAAAAAGAAACACCTGCAGGTTGTGAAAACGGGTGGGAAGGTGCAGCGGAAATGGAGAGAGGTGAAGGAAATCAGGCTACATTTTGGAAGAAGCCAGGACTCACTGTGGACTCATTATTGTGCTGGGTGGGCATGAAGCAAGAAAAGACGATGACAGAGAAGAGAACTTGCAGCACTTCTGACTCTAAAACTACATCTCAGAGAAGTGTTCTGTTTCCCAACGAAGTAACGCTAGCCATTATGCTGACTTAATTTCATTCCAGCACTTTTCACCCCATATACCTATAATTTACTTTTTTGTTTTTATTGATTTTAAGATTCCACCTTTTAGAATGAGAGCTCTTGGTGTATTTGTATGCCTTTTCTCACTTCTATTATCCTTCAGCATATACCAGGCTATCAAAAGTACTTTATAAGCCCGGCCGGCATGGCTCAGTGGTTGAGCGTCGACCTATGAACCAGGAGGTCAGGGTTCGATTCCCGGTCAGGGCACATGCCCAGGTTGCAGGCTCCATCCCGTGTGGGGTGTGCAGGAGGCAGCCGATCCATGATTCTCTCTCATCATGAATGTTTCTATCTCTCTCCCCCTCTCCCTTCCTCTCTGAAATGAATAAAAATGTTATTTTTTTTTAAAAAAGTACTTTATAAGCCCAGCTGGTGTGGCTCAGTGGTTGAGGGGTGACCTAGGAACCAGTAGGCCACAGTTTGATTCCTGGTCAGGTCACATGCCCGGGTTGCGGGCTCCATCCCAGTGTGTGGCATGCAGGAGGCAGCCAATCAATGATTCTCTTTCATCATTTATGTTTCTATCTCTCCCTTTCTCTCTGAAATTAATTTAAAAAAAGAAAACCAATTTTTAAAAAGTACTTTATAAAAAGATAAATCAAGGAAGCAATCTCAAGTATGGAACATATTGTGGAGTTTAGGAGAGAAGATGTAAATCTCTGCATGAGCAAGATATACTATATCACAGAAATCACTGAAGAATTTCATGTCATGTGAGAGGCAACAGTTAACTGGGACTTAATGTTGTCGGAATATGATGGAAAGAAAAAGGAAACATTTCAGGAGGTAAATACGGTGGTAATATCTATGACAAACAGTTAAGAGAGATCAGAATACACAAAGGAATTAATTTGAAGTAAGCAAAAGTTATGGTCTGGTTTAGGCTAAAACTGTATGCAAGTTAAACTAAATGTTCTAGTTAAAACACACCATGAACAGCAGACTCCTTTACAGAAGAGAGCGCTGTGGGTACGGAATAACTGAGGTGGTGGCCGGACAGCCAGGAGGACAGGTGCACAGGAGTGAAGGAGAACCTAAGCTTTCAGGGGTTCTCTAGGAGGGACAATGATTCCACAATTTGGGAGACTCATGCAGGGAGCAAAATAAGCTTAGCTAATTAGAATGAAGAAAACTTTGAAGGGTTAGTGGTTCAGATGACAAAATGGAAACCAGAACCTTCGAAGACCCTCAGAGTGAAGAACAGGCGAAGCTAAGATAAAAAGAAAAGCAAAGGCACAATGAACCAATTAATTTTGGAGGCAGAGCATCCAAGATGGGGTGAATCTTAGGAAGGGAAATCAATATCACCAGGGGCAGAAAGGAGCAATGGTCAGAAAACAGTGAGCACAGTTTCTCTTTGGATGGAGGCCTTGGACAGTGGACTTTCATAGCAAAAGAGGTGAAGGAAAAGAAGACTAAAGGAAAGGTTTCAGAATTCTAAAAAAAAAATGCCGAAACCGGTTTGGCTCAGTGGATAGAGCATCGGCCTGCGGACTGAAAGGTCCCAGGTTCGATTCCGGTCAGGGGCGTGTACCTGGGTTGCGGGCATATCCCCAGTGGGAGATGTGCAGGAGGCAGCTGATTGATGTTTCTCTCTCATCGATGTTTCTGGCTCTCTATTTCTCTCCCTTCCTCTCTGTGAAAAATCAATAATATACATATATATATAAAAAAAATAAATAAATACTTAAAAAAAAGAATTCTAAAAAAAAAGAACCATACAACCAAAACTCAAGGTGCAGATAAAGAGGGATCAAATTCCAGAAGAGATAAAGGGATCTATTTTTCTCTAAACTCCTACAAACAGAAAGGGGTCTACCCTCTCTCACTGGGAAGGACATACACTGAGGCACTGCCCACCTATCCTCAAATCCTTTCACCTCTGAGCCCCTTCTCTGAGCGACTAAAATGTGATTTCCACAGCCCCCCTGTGCTGGTTCTCACTCACCTGAACGGATCCCACAGAGGAGTTCACCTGCCACTGTCCATGGTGCTTCTCCGTGATCCAACTTGGAAAGTATGTCAGGTTTGCTGGCCTCATAACCTGTTCATGGGGAATGATAGAAGCCTTAGACACACTGAATAGGACTTGGGGTCTGTGAAGACCACAGAATATAATAAAGACAAAACCATTTTCACACGTAGACAGTAAAGGTATTCTCTCAGGAGAAGGGAGAATATTCTTCTCTGGGGCCAGGGCGAAAACTAAGATTCATCTACCACTTCAGAAGACCAGACATGCCAGAGCTTTCAGAAGCTGAGAATGGAAAGGCCACTGACTGAGGACCATCTGACTGACACACGGGAGCTGTCCTCACCCACTGACACCAGGTGGCTGTAGGTCTCCAACATCACATCCGTGTACAGGTCCTTCTGCTCGGGGCCTAGGAGCTGCCACTCCTCCCAGGTGAAGTCCACGGCCACATCGTGAACTGTCAGGGGTTCCTGTACCAACTCCATGCTGTGTAACGGCGTGATTTTCTTTAGATGACATAGAGTAATGTTAGTTTTTCTGCTCATTTTCACTCTATAGTCTACACCTATATAGCCAGTGAGGTTTTAATTCAGTATACAGTTGAATAATCACATGCCTAGTAAAATACATGGTGGAGAAAAGTAGTTTTACAGTTGTTCCTATGGAAAATAATACAATAATTCATAAACAATTATCAACTGTTTCACATACTAACAACTGCAAAGCTACTTTTGCCCCATATTGCATCTTATAACTGAGCATTCAGTTATCCATGTGTTTATCCAATTAAGAGTTTCTATAATGTGAACTTAAATGTTCTTGTTACCTAGAAATACCACATTCGTGTATTTGAGATACAATACAGGGTGTACCACAATATGTATACACACTTTGAATAATTATTAATTCCAGTGGGTTCAATCTGAAACAAAGGAAATACAAATCATGATATTTATAGGCCTCTAGAAATCCATTCATGAAGACAGAACAGGACAAAACAAACCCAATCACCTGAGCCTGGAGCATTTCCTTCTGTTCTCTCTGAAAAGAGCTGGCCACGGGGAGGCTCTGACTTGCTGTGTTTGGGTTTGCTCTAAATTTCTGTTACCCAACTGTGCAACTACCTCCTGCTTCAAATGATTCTATTGCTTCTGATGAGTCAGAACCTGTGGGTTAAGGTGAAAATTCAATGAGTGATACATTTCGTCTGGGATCCATTGCTAAGAAAATGCCCACAGTATCGCTGGTGTCCCTTTAGTTCAGTGGTTCTCAACCTTCTGGCCCTTTTTTTAAAAAATATATTTTATTGATTTCTTACACAGAGGAAGGGAGAGGGATAGAGAGTCAGAAACATCGATGAGAGAGAGCCATCGATCAGCTGCCTCCTGCACACTCCCCACTGGGTATGTGCCCGCAACCAAGGTACATGCCCTTGACCAGACTCGAACCCGGGACCCATGAGTCCGCAGGCCGACTCTCTATCCACTGAGTCAAACTGGTCAGGGCCCTTCTGGCCTTTTAAATACAATTCCTCATGTTGTGACCCCCAACCATAAAATTATTTTCGTTTCTACTTCATAACTGTAATGTTGCTACTGTTATGAATCCTAATGTAAATATCTGATATGCAGGATGTATTTAGGCGACCCCTGTGAGAGGTCAGTGGACCCATCCATGATGGACCCCTGTGATGGACCCAGGTCGCGACGCAGTCTACCTTGAGAGCGGTGGGGGTCGTCAGCACCACAGTGTAGGGACCCTTCCAACGTGGCTCCAGGGTCTCCTGGCGGTGCCTTCTGTCGTAGACCCAATCTCCTGGTCTGTGCTGATGAGGAGTTGGGGTTGGGCTGGTCTCATACAGATTCCAGGGCCCGTTGCCTTCCTTTGACAGGCAGGGGGAAGGGCCCATGAAATCTCTGCCCTGAGGAACTGTGAGCCCCACCCTTAAATGTCCCAATCAGACTAGAAAAGCCACAAATACCTTTTAAATCTACCCCAGAATTCCAAAATCCCAACCCAGCACAGAATATCACATAGCAAATCAAAGTTCCCAGCAAACAAACAGACAGAGATGTTTACTAGTTAGGCGGGCCATTCCACCTCTGACAGAGAGCAAGCGCCCTTGGGGAAAGATCCCAGCGGCTGCTCAGGGTGTTTTGCTATTGGTCAGAGCACTCAGCCTCAAAGAAATCAAGCCTGTGGTGTTTTTTTTTTTTTTAGACACAAACAGAAATTTCACTAGCTAAACAATTTTCAATGAAGACAGATAACATTTCCCATTAAAAACTTTGAAAACAAAACAGAAATAAACAAAAAACACTTTTACACAGGCGCATGCCACATTTACAGCACAAAATACCAACAGATAACCTAGTTTGATTAACATATTATCTAGAGCCCTTGGGTAACCTGGGTTAAACTTAGGCATGTTATCTAAATTACAGTCCTGGGTCTCCAAAACACTGAGTTGATAAGTTAACTGGAGCCCTCCGATCCTGGGACAGCTGTGCTGTCCCTCCCAGGCAAAGGAAAAATGTGCCCTCTAAGCCCAGTAGTAAACCACAGTTTCTGCCTGAAATAATCGTACTTTACTTTAGAAATTGGATTACTGCTATTAGTCCTTTTTAAAGACTTTGACATATTAAATAAATCCGAGAGGTCAGCACACTTCCTGCCCCATAAAACTCCGCCTTAAAGCTCCACCCTTGACTAAATCAGAGGGAGGGGCCTTTGCTGTTTCAAGATGGCGGCCCCCAGGGAAGCGGCAAGTCATGTGGCTGACATGGCGGTTGCCAAGTCATGCAGCCCAAAATGGTGGCTGTCTACACTGGTTTTTTGCAAATCAGGACCAATAAGCAAAGGCATTTAGTTACCACAATTACACAATTTTTCCCAATTCAATCTGAACCTTAAACTTTTAGCTGGCAAGTCAAAATATTCAGCATTTCTCAATCAGTAACATTTTTAACCGTTTGAGTCCCTTGGTATTTCTCGACATAAAATAAAACAAGCACTATCACGCTGTTTGGGTCTTTTCGTACTCATTTAGAGAAAGCGCGGTTGCGCTGTTTGGGATTCTTCGACAGTGTTTTTTCAATACCCCTTGGGACTCAAACGAATCTTATGTTTTCTCGACATAAAATCTCAGCAGTGCAATCGCGCTGCTTGGGACTCAAACGGTTAAGAGTAAACTTTAAAAATGCAAGACATACTTAACCAACAGATTTAATTCTGTCCTCTAGATTTTTCATGAGGCAAATTAGAGTAAACTTTACTTTTTACTTTCAAGTGGCTCTGGAAAACCACATTTGAACCTTGCAAAACAGGTTCTGGCCTACCTGGTTTTTTCAGACATAAATTGACCACATTCTTTAAGATTTTGCTACAGGCAGGAGGCGACTATCCCCTTCCTCCATTAAGAACAACCTTTAAAAACTCTTCTTTATTATGGAAATGTCAATCCTGCTGCTAAAATCTAGCTGGCATATTTTTTTTTCCTTTGGGTAAATGATCAGTCTTGGGCTCCATCCTGCACATCTGCAGAGACTCTAGCTCAAAACTCTATCCAAAATCGGACAGTGCACGCATTAGTTTTAAGCCAGCTTTTCTCTTTACACGTGCACAGAAATCCCAGACGCATTTACTTGGGGAGGGGGTGACCTGTTTTCACAGATCCTCATTCAGACGCCCGCC